ATAGTGAGAAGAGATTCGACATAATCTGGAGTACTGCAGTTCGAATTGTACAGTCGATTGTGAACAGCTCGTCCTCTAGGTTTATAGCTGTTAATTTAAACGGTTCGGACATGTCTTTAGAATGAAATATCTTCGAGACTCACAGGACAGTTTCTTGGCAAAGCCCATGGAATACAGCCCAAATGCAGATCGCGACCAGTTGCTGACTGTATGGTATAGAAACTAGCATTGTCACGCTTTCCCATCCAGATCACAAGTTTGGTGGCGGGCTGGAACCAGTGTACATTCCACCTGAAAGAAACAGGGCTTTTAAAACGAATGAAGGAACATCTGCGTACTGAGGATAAAGCGTGGCGTGGGTGAACATGTTACTCCTGAAGGTTGCAGCATTTTCAAAGATATGCAACTGGCTTGGCAACCTCGTGCCACTCCTACTAACATAGGAACAATGAAGCATATAAATTTCACTTACTAGCTTCAGCCAGACGTTCGTCTGAATAACCTGACTTCTTTCGTCCTTAAAAAAGGGGCAGACACTTAAAAATGTCAGTGACAAAGAATAATATTCAAAAGCGGTGCAGCTTACAACGTCCACAATTTGAAACAGGGTGATTTCCAACAGCACCCGCAGCGGCAGAGAGCTGTTTGGTACCGGCCTTTCTAACGTGTCGTAGCTCATCAGCAGATCATCGTGCAGCTTGCGCTCAAAGTTGTCCGTCCAAGCCGTGCGAATAATCTGAACCACAAAGACGAACATCATGCGCCAGCCGGCTCTAAGCCCCTGCAACAGCATGTTCATAGTCGACCAACTGCCATGCGAACACAAAACGAGACTGAAGGAGGAAAGGAGAGGAGTCATTGGCAACTGCTAGTTCCTCATCGTCAGACTCCTGCCTCTCACATTACATCGGGACCGGTTTGGCAGGTGCACCGCCGCTAACTCATAGGCTCACAACTAGCTCTTAACAACGCTACTTTGCATTTCTATTTACTTTGAAAGGCTCAGTAAACATGACCACCTTTATGCT